AACTCCGCACGCCACGTCCCGGCTCGACTTTCAAGGTCGCCTGGCTCGTTTATCCTAATTCTGGATATAATTAGCGGCATCATCACCGAGTCACGAAAATAAACATGGGCACGTGTTAAACTAACATTCGCCCTCTTTATTAGTAGACGCCGAAAAACATGATATTTACGTTAAAAAAACGGATGCCCCGACATATTTCCGTCTGTACCAAATATTTGGGAAATGATGTAAACAAAGTGGGTCGTGGTTTATTTTCAAGACACCTTCGTTGCTTGCTGGAGAGGGTGAAGTTTGGTTAACATGCAGTTTATTTTTTTATCTTTTGCATTGACTACGTTTAGAACAGATGTTCTTCGCGCAAAAACGTACAGGGTAGAAGTAGAAAGAGGTAACATGGAAAATAATACGAAAAGCTTCCACAGTAATATTTAAGAAATGAATAATTCATCTACAGAAATAAATATCGATAAATTACATGAAATGAATAAGTTTTCATTTAATAGATATAACTGGAAAAAACAGCTGAGATAACGGATGAAACTTTTTGTATATGCTCAGTATAGGTACCGTGATATATGTGGGGGGATTTGAATGTTTATTCAAGATAACGATGTTATTCACAGATAAGGCATTAGATATAGTAAATCTATCCCTATGTTTGGACATCGAATCGATTTCCGGTGTTTTGAGCTTTTATCGACATGCAATCAGGTTTTTTTTCACTTTGCAAAAACCGATCGAATCGTCAAAAGAGCGGTAACCCTCAAACATTTGGCTTCGTTATTCGGGACTTTCATCATACATATACTAGGGATGTCTTTTAAGTTTTGCATATGGAAATAAAACAACACGGTAGGTAATTTTAAATGACTTTTTTGTTTTTCGCAGTATTCTCCACGAAGATTAATACACATCTGCATGCGCTCTAACCAATTTTCGAAGCACTTATTCCACTCGTTTGCTGGCAGATCCAAAACGGCATTTTTGAATGCATCAACTGCTTCTTCTGGTAGCTGAAACCTCTGACCACGCAGTCGGTTTTTAATTTTCGGGAAAGTAAAGAAATCGTTAGAACTTAGATCGGGACTATATGGAGGATGGTCCACTAATGCCACGTTTTCTTCCGTTAAATACTGCCTTATTTTTTGGGCTGTGTGCGAGCGTGCATTGTCTTGGTGGAGGATGATTCTTCTTTCGGAATTGATTTTTCGAAGCTCGGTGATGACAAATGGTGGTATACCAATCCGCAGTAACAGTTCTTTGCTCATTAAGAGGAATTGTTGCAAAATGACCCGCTTTTGACCATCTTTATCGAAACACTTCGAGAACGAATGACTTTTGTTGGCTTTTCTTCACCTTAGAACATCCAAACAGCTGACTGTCGTTTGTTTTCTGGTTCATAACAGTAAATCCACGATTCACCACCACTAACAATGCTGTATACATTTTCTGAGTTTCCAGAATTGAAACGGTCAAGCGTTTTTTGACACCAGTTAACCCTGGCTGCTTTTTGCTCTTCAGTCAACAGGTGGGGTATCCAACGAGAAACTAATTTTCTTACTCCTAATTATCCATGTAAAATTCTTTGAATTGAGGTTTTTGAGATGTTCGAAGACGCCTCAATTTTGCGATATGTTACATGTCTATCTTCAATGATGAGTTTGCGCAGAGCATCGACGTTTTCCTGGGTGACTGCCGTTTTTGGTGCACCCACCCTGGGATCGTCGCTAAGACTCTCCCGTCCACGTTTGAATTCTCTATACCAACGGGAAATTGTCGACTGATGAGGCGCTTCGTTGCCGAAAACAGACAGTAACTCAGCAAGGCATTCTTGTTGCGATAAATGTCTCTAAAAGTTGTAATAAATTATGGCGCGAACATGATCTCTGTTGACTTCCATTTTTCCAATGACTTGGTGACACTTAAAAATTCACTGTAGTGAGAACACTGCACGTATTGTTGTGAAACTATGAACTTAAGTTTACTAAAGAGTGAGGTTAAGATTCAGTACTGACGTTCGATCCGCGCGGCCTGCTATGTTTCCATATGCAAAACTTCAAAGACATCCCTCGTACAAGCGTCTAGGAAAATTTGTTTTATAATCTGGACCCCGACCAGCCAAAATGAACGGCTCTTTGGTAGAACTCGCCCATCCACCGAAACCGGATGAACGCTAAGGCGCTTCTTGTTAGTTCAAGGCACAGTACTGTGATAATCTCCAGGTCTCTCGTCCGAGAGAAAGTCGCTGCTAGACTTCTTTTCTCCATCTCACCAGCACAGATCGATTTGTCACTCTTAATTCCTTCATGTAGAGTGCTGTCAAGAACAAAGCTGTGGATCGGATTGATCCCAAATAAAAGGAGGTCATCGATATGTCAGAACAGTGTCGGAGCTAAGTGGGAAGAAAATGAGACCGCTTCAATTACGACGGATATCTAGCGGTCAGAGAAGAAGTCAGCCACCCATCTGCAAAACTTCTTTGAGAGGCCAGAGGATCGATAAGAAGGCAGCATGTCACAGCTCATAGAGCGCTTTCGGCTGGAGAATACTAACAACTCTATTATTATAATTTAATTAGTAGTAAATGATGATCTTTTTTCTACCTAACCAAAAATCAACGAACGCGACAGCTCAAAAGTGTCAAAGTGTCAGCAACGACATTATGAATAGAAAATTCTATGTCTGAGCCGATATAAATGAAACGAAGATAAACATATATGTAGTAAATTGTCGATTTTGTGAACGCACAAAGTAGCAATTGAATCGTGTCTGTATGAAGAATATGATACGACATAGAATCCTACTGCTGTTATTCCGATACAGACGGAAGCCAGTAAACTTTGCTGGCATCAAAATCATGAAATTTGACATAGGTGTTTATGTACTTACTCCTGTCCAGAAGAAATGAAACAGATCGCTCCTATTCGCGAGGGTGCTTGGAACAGGCGCCATGTCTCTTTAATTTTCCGTCTGAACACAGCTTTAATTCCTTAAAGCGATGCCAGCCAGGTTTCAGGATTTTTATTCACCGCCACCCGAATAAACTTGGCAGGCGCGACTCGGCGTTGCACATCCAACAAAGTATAATATGGGACTAATTTGAGGCGCGATGGTATTTTTTTAGACGGCCACGGTGTTTGTGGATTCTATTTCGCGAACCGCCGCACCACACGCGTCATTGGCGTAGGCGTAGAAAAAATAGCCAATGTGAAAGGTGCAATTTTTATGCAAAGCGACAACAGTAATAGTTCAAGTGACCGTGATACATGTTTCAGGTCGTTAGAATGAGATGCAGCAAGAATAAAAATTAAATGACCATACGCAATTCTTGTAAATGATTAACTTTCTTGTATTAAGCCGGGTATTAAACATGCATCAGGGAGTAAGACTCAAGAAGACAATTACCGCGTCTACTATGAAGAATAGCAAAGTGAGGTGAGGAATGAATAGATCAATATTTACCTGTTTGGATGAAATAACAAAATATATTCAAAATACATTATTATAAACAATTTAAGAAGGTACGATCACGTTTCTCATTCAACAGCTTCCATAAATTCGACAAGAAATCCGATATGTTCAAGTACTACTTTGTCACATTTCTCATCGATTGAATTGAATGTTATCTTTGATTGTTCTGAGCAAAGCGGCAGTAGCGCTATGTAATTTTCAAATCAACACTGAAGATAGAGCATTACAAAGTTTTTGAGAGCTTGCAGGTTTGTGCAACAAACTTCTCTGTTGCCAAGATTTAAACCCCTGAATCCTAAGTCACAAGAACTGAAAAAAATCTCGTCTGTCAATCTTAATCGCATGTCTAGTTCTTTGGCTATGAATCAAGAAGTATTCCGGTAAACGTGCGTGCCTAGCAGCGATATCTACGTATGCACATGGAAAAATACGGAATTTATCTGATATTTCTATTCCTTATCAATTTTATTAATCGGAGGATTATGCAGATCTAAGTGTCATCATATGTTACATAAATAGTACTTGCCTTTTGATGTTTACGGTGGAATTTGTTGCGATTGATTTGTATAAATATTTTTTGCATATTTAAGTAGCATAATGGTTTAGTTTGACCGCAGTCTTTTTGCCCCAATGTACCTACTGGTATGTTGAGAATTGCCCACTTACACAACACCATTAATCGATAGCGTACTGCATCAACACTGTTTTCTTTAGGTTCGTATCTTAGACCTATTGATTTTTCGGTCCAAAACAAAACAGTGCTGAAAGAATATTTTACGATTTTTCTCAAACTATCAGTTAAAAAGGATTTCACATTTCGCCTCCGACGCCCCAGATGAGATTGTTCAGGAAATGTTAGGCCCGTATCGTCAGACGTCCCTACAATTGTAGGGCGCCTTCATGGCCTCCTTGATTGTCATAGCTTTCTACTTCTCCGTGTCAGCGCTCTATTTTGAGGTTATGTCACAAACATCTATTTGCATCAAATTGTGCTTGCTTTTGAGTTATATCATGTTTTATCAGCCTGAAATTTCCCACAATTTAAAAAGAAAACATATATTCACAATAGGAGAGCGCTGACGCTGACTCGGGACAAGTCTAATCTAGACATTTTTGAAGGAGAGAAAGGAGTATGACAATCAAGGAGGCCATAAAGGCGCCCTACAATTGTAGGGACGACTGACGATACGGGCCTGGTTTGTTCGCAAGCTTCCTCCAGAACACCTATAATGACGAATTAGTGTAGACGATCATCATTAAAAAAGATATTATGTATATTTGAAATGTGAAGTATTTTGTAACTGATTATTGATTAAAATTTTAGACGACTGCTTTGAACTAGCAGTCGCGGTAGAAGAGGAGAAAGCCTCTTTAGGTACAATGCTCCTCATTCTCGATTTATTAAGAACAGAGGACTGGTCGTAGCGTCCAGCTCGACCTCAACCAAGTTAGACTGCAGCTGTCTACTCTTGACCAGGTAGAATGAAATTCTCCTAGGGAATGATTTTGACAGCTGTTGACGTTTATCAAGTTTCTGAATGCGTTCATTTTCGGCAATCAATATGTTCCAAAGTTGACGACGAGATGATGGTGAGACTTCCGCGCTTTTTCACTGAGAAGGACTCGGGGAGCCTCTCTTCTACCAGTGTTCAGGAATACAATTCCCCGAAAGGTGAGATGGTGAGGTGAGACCCGGGTGGTCTGGACTTACATCCAGCAAATATGTGGTTTCTCGAATATTCCACATCTGCTGTTCATCCATATTTCCGTCCTCTTTTTTTTTTCTTTGTACCGAAGCAGCTGCGTAGGCAGAAGCCTAAACCCAAAGCACCGCGGGTGCTTAGTGACTCTTTTTTTTGAACTGCCTAAGTTTAGTAGAACTGGGGAAACCCTCCTCAGGCAGACTGTTTCCTCTATACCCTGGGGACAAAGGAGCGGTCGAATCGGCTCGTTCTAGATGTACGAAGTTCAATACGATTAGGATGGGAGGCCGAAGTCAGGCGGATCCGTCGGTGCGATAGGGACCCGAGACTGTTCGTTAGAGAAGAGTAATCAGTCCTTTGAACGGCATCGAGTATGGATAATGTAGTCAGGCCGGCAGCACCCCAAACATGTGACCAGTACTCGATGCTACCTCTTATCAGGGCTTTGTACACAGTGAGGAGGTGACGTGAAGAAAAGTACTTCTTAACATTAAACAAATAGAATATCTTTTTCCCAGCAGCTGCTATGGTACAAAATGGACCAAAAAGTATAAATTTTTTCATAAAGTTAGGAAATTGTGTACTTCTGAAGGCTGTTACTGGGTTTTGTTTGTGGTTTGATGATGATTAAACGTTTTACCTCAATGTTAGTTTTGCCTTTAGAGATGAGACCGACGAACGACGCACTTTTTCTACCGAGAGTAACACATAGAGCGACTCTTCTACCAATGTTTAGGATTACAGTTTCCTGAAAGGCAGGAGAACCAAGCCCACCTTCTCGCAATGATTCTGCTCCCTTGTTTCCAAGACTACACCCCCAGCCATGTATGTAGTGCACAATTAAAAAATCTAGATGGTAAAAATAAAACAAAAGCGAATTAAGCTATTCAAAAGTCTAAAAATTATGTTTTTCTCATGTAGAACCATGTTCCCCTTAAAGAAGTAAGCCAAGGAAGATCAAAACAAGACGTTTTAACTCGGTAAGTGCACTTTGCACCAACTGAGTGAACGAGTCATTCAATTATTGTGGATGGGAGAGAAAATAAGCTCTGAAACGTTTTACATCGGTTCTTTTCCATAAAAGTCTTGGAGGGAGACATATATGGTATGTAGCTTTTTTGTCAATTTTCCATTTCGCCTGTTTGCATAGCGTCGCTTTACTATCCATTTATGGACTGCTATTTCTCCAGAACCTAATGAAACTTGGAAATTGAAATAGGTCTTGCGTTCTCATCACCTTTCTAGAGGTTCTTTAAAAACAGTTTTCAAAGTTTCCCATGAACGCTTGACAGATTTATGAATCCGTCTCGGTTAGAGTGCAAACTTCGTCACTCTCTCCTCGAGAGTAAAAACATTATTTTGGAAGAAACTGCTGGATTTATTACAGTACTAAGGAAAAAATGATCACAATCCAACATCATTTGGCGTCGAATTGTGTCCGTCCACGAAACGTGATTGAATGACCAAGTCCATATTAAAAATAAAGACGAACACTCCTATCATGAAACGGCCAACCAAAAACTTTTCGGACGCATTACATCTGACGAAGAAGCAAAGATTGCAGTCTCTCCTGAATGATCGGTCTCTTGACTCACGTTTGTTGCAGCCAGCAAACTAGAAATGGTGAAACAGACGCAGTCTCGATCCTGCCATAACGCTTCAGCTCTCCGTTTAGAGCTACAAAAATCAATAGAGTATTAAAGTTTCAGTCGGAAAATAAAAATCAAGCTACGTCTTATAGCCCCTAAGAAGCTGTTTTTCTCATAGTGTTAGTAAATTTCACAAAAGCGAATTACATTAAATTACGTACCTACCATGATATCGGCATCATAAATACTGTCCGCTATTAAGGGGTAGTTTTAATTCATAGAACTCCACTCAACTGTCCTTAGAATGGGATAGACAATTGCGATTATTATGTATGAATATATATTTAGGGCGAATTTCACCAACAACAGTCCGTTATTCTGAACCTATAGGGTAACAGACCGTCAGATACACCGAATGAGCTTCAAGTTCCAATCAACAAATTTTAGCAACCAATAGCTATGAAATGTTGAAAACAAAATACTGTCAACGTATGAGATGGCAACTTGTTATTGAAACATCACCAGCTTATTGAATATTAAGAAATTACATATAATTCAGTCAAAATGTTATGAAATGTTTGATTTTTTAATTAAATTCATGTTTTAATTACTATTGTTGATTTTTTATTCATGTTTATATTATTTTGTTCAATTGACATGTGATACTGGGTATTTTTTCCTATAAACCTCTTGCAGATAGCCATTAAGCACCTACTTGATGACAAGCTCTACCAAAAGATATTGCTCATTTCCAACATTCATTAATTTACTTGCCGTCCATCAGAACCATTATGACTCCTTAGATTGATATTCCCACAAAACCATTCAGGTTTTTTGATATCCATACATCCATTAAGTTGAATATTTTTCGTTGTTCAGGAACTGAACAAACATCCACACTATATTCACAGCGATTAAGAAATTCCCAAATATATGCCTTAAAGCTACCAGCAAACCTAAAACCTGCAAAAAAAACCACAAATTTGCCATATTTATCTTTTTTTACGAGTACACATTTTAGGTTATAGTTATATTAGACAGTATTTGAATACAGCTGATTATTGCATTTCAAGGAGTGACACATGTGTGGAATGTTTCAACTCTTGGTACCAGTCACAAAACATATACTCTGAAGGTTTAATTGCATGCTATTCAATGACAACACGGTGACTTGTGTGGTTATCAGCGGCCATTTTGAGAGGGTGCAACAGGGTTGCCAGATTGTGCATTAATATCCCGTTTCACCCTCCTGGTCCCAGTGGAGTAAGTTCCGCCATCTGTTGAAATATACTCTACTATGCTTTATAAGACTATTCGTGACATTTTTCCCAAATCATTGCACAACACTTGAAAAAATGCAAATGAAAATTTAAAGTTATTTCCATGACGCCGCAAAATAGCTGCTTCGGTACCTTGGGTTATACATCTTGACAGTAGGGATGTTCGATACGATCCTATATTTAGAAGTATCAATACATTTCACGAGTATCGTCATCTTTCGATCCGGAATGTGTCAGAAAGAGTGAGCTGCGCCATTACCCTGCCAAATCAGACATATCTTTCATCATTTTCAAAGAAATTGTACAAAATCTTCAAATTTGTGAAGTTAGCGAGTTTCAGTTCATACGTTGTTACCAGACATGCCCAAATCATCAGTTGCTGCCGTGATATTCATCCCGATCACTGCATCCCCACGGCTTGGTGACCTGTATGTTAAATTTGTATTGATAGGGCAGCGGGTTATGCTATAAATCATATGTCACAGTGTTTGTGCACTGATTGCAACGGTTAGATGATACCAAAAATATTTTCATAAATAGGAGATCTTTCCCATTCCGGATCGAACAATCTACCAAAGATGCTTATAATCATGATACCTAGTAAATTTTTACGAAAAAAATTCAAAACCAGCAAATGTAAAAGATTCATTTCGCACCCTCCACTACGGGACGTGATCGTTGTTAGACTTGGCAACCCAGCAAGTGACAGATAGATATCCCCGCCAGTCAAAAAGAAAAACATTACCAGTTTTTATGTTTTTTTTGGACTTAAAAGACATTATTTGTGAAACATTTTTTATAATTTTTTGTCTATGTCCATAGTAATTGCATTATGCATCAGGGAGAAGTAGGGATTGACACGTCTTACACATATTATCTGTGTTTTAGGATGGAGAGGACATAATGTTTTTATTGCTTTGAAGAAATTCATTAACCCATAAATTAATAAATGATTACTATTATGACGTAATTGGAGGAATTGGATGGAATGTATTTTATATTCTATTTTCTTGCAAAATACAGACAATCGACCTATTATTTGCCGCATTCCCATTCGCTGAAGGGGATAACGGATTGTTAAATGTAAACCTATAACATATATCAAATTACATGAAAGTTGTCCTGTTTTTTCTGTACAAAAGCATCATGTTGGAATCAAAAAGTGGTCTTGTTATAATACAGTCGAATTTTCACGATTTTATTCAATATTTCAATACAAATCACTAATATTCAGAGACCTTTGACAGCTTCTGTCAAATTGCATTTCGATAAGGTATTTTCCCATTGGTCCATAATATTAATGTTGGTGAACTCGGCCCTTATAGTGTTTCTTTCCAACAGCTAGAGTCGCATGTCGTAGCACTGTGCAGGGGTATCCTTGATATTTTGATTTTAACTTGATATACACGAGTTTGTCCTGTCCATATCGTAAAATTGACCATTTCACGAAATGTGTCATTATGCTTTGCGCTGATCATGATGTGCGTTGACCACATCGATGATGACAAATCGTCTAACGATATGATCAGCCGAATGAGCGACTATCTCATTATATGGTAAGCATGTTTGATCATATCGTAAAATAATTACATGAAATGCCGATAGAAGCGCTGGGAGCGTTTACATGACAGCATGGCAGCCGTTAATAGTAAAGTTGTTTTTCGAACTAAACAGTCTAATACCTAATCCGTTACTAAGGCCCGTATCGTCAGTCGTCCCTACAATTGTAGGGCGCGTTTATGGCCTCCCTGATTGTCATACTCCTTTCTCTCCTTCAAAAATTTCTCGATTACACTTGTCCCGTGTCAGCGTCAGCGCTCTCCTATTGTGAAGATATGTTTTCTTTCTAAATTGTAGAAAATTTCAGGCTGATAAAACATGATATAACTCAAAAGCAAGCACAATTTGATGCAAATAGATGTTTGTGACATAACCTCAAAATAGAGCGCTGACACGGTGAAGTAGAAAACTAAGACAATCAAGGAGGCCATAAAGGCGCCCTACAATTGTAGGGACGACTGACGATACGGGCCTAAATGAGGAAAAATGGTGAGATCAAAAGAACTTACGACCAATATGTACTCGAGTACTGTGATGGTCACGCAAATACCGATCAAAGCGTCAAAAAGCCGTGGAATTTTACAGGTTAGACATCATTATTTACTTATTTGAAGAAATTATTGTGTTCGTCTTTCAAACTGCTATGTCATTTTTGAGTAATACGTCAAATAAAGGAGAGTAGAGTGATCATGCAAAAGAAGTCAATGGATATGATATTATGGAGCCTATATAACGATATTATTTAACTTAAATAAAAAAAAGTAATAGCTTTGTATTATTTGAATGTTCAAAAACGCAATTTGTGACACATTGTGCAATATTAAGTATTTTAAGATTGTTCATTGTAATTATGTTATTTTAATTTCCTAGAGCTCCTAGTTTTAATAAAAAACAGTAAATGACTTAATATATTCTGGATTTTACTAAATATTTTATGGAAACCTTATTTTACGATATGGCCAATCGTATATGACCAGATCGTAGGCCATTACATTAAGTGCGACAATTTCATGAAATGCTCGATCATTCCATGAAATCGTCAATTTAACGATATGGCTAGGACGTACTTGTATAGAAGACTTTTCTTTTGGTCTTTGAGTAAAAATTCCGCAACCGGCAGTTCTTTTGATGTTGACGAGCGACCCTCTGCTTCACCTTGGCCCCGGCTAAGAATGCCTCTGGACTAGAAACAACTAACGGTGGCATGATATATGACGACTCCAACCCAGACGTATCCACTTAAGATTGCGCCGCGCGAACCAGCGGACTCTCCTACAACCAGTTCCAGATAATGTGTGTGAATAGCAAATAAGGAGTTACATCACTTCTATTTTTGGCGAATATGTTGCTATGCTTTTCTTTACTTCACTGTGCTCGTTAAATTCGCACCTTCCTCTAGTTTTACAGAGTTGCGCGGCTTCGGAATGCAGTTTTCTCGTTTTTATTGGCGATTGTTTCAAATTCAATAGAGAGATATGGGCAAATCAAATGCCGTTTATGTGTAAGTTACTTACGTGATATGAGATTTAAATGCAACCTAAGAGACATGTG